AAAAAAAAAAAGGGAAAGGGGGGGGGGGGGGGGGAGGGTAGTGAGTAACTCCAGATCTATGCATGTCCCTTTTGCAGGGGAAGATGCCTCTGACAGTACAGAATATTCTTTTCATTTCTCATTATGTAGAACTTGAACTAAATCTGTTCCAAACCCCTGCAGGTTCTGTCCCCTCTAAGCGCTAGGCCTGTTGGCAGGAAACTGGTACGTGAATGCCAGTGGCATATCAGATAGCTAGAGGGCATAATTTTTTATTGGGCCTATGAGCTTTCAAATTCCCTCAAATAACAGATGGGTGAGCCCAACCTGGTGAAATAAAACAAGGATTAATCCTGTTTTGGAGGTTCAAAAAGTTTGATCACATATGCAGAATAGTTCCCATGCCTCTGCAACTTCTGACTGGAGGCAGGAAGTGGAAGTAGTGGTTTGGAGGGGAGGGGGGGAGGGAAAGGTGTGTGCATTTTTTTTCTTTTTTTTTCTCCACAGCTAGAACTAGTTTAGTACTGTGAGGAGCTGCTTTTTTGATCTCTAGACTGAGGAGTTCCCACAAGCATCTTAATTTCTCAATGAGTTTCTCATTGAGCCAGGCTTGTGACATTTCCCTTCACATTCCTCCACCCTTCCCGCAGGTGAGTTGCTGAAAGGTCTCCTGCCCAAATTCCCTGCCAGTTCAGAGCACTCATCGCCGTGAAGGAGAAGATCCCACCTTTCAAGACTGGATCTGAAATGTGCCAAGTTACGCTGTCTGGATTGGCTTACCACTACGAATGCCTTCTCAAACCTGGTGGAGTGTTCTATAAGTCGATATCACCAAACTGGTAACAAATCTGAACTTTGGAACACTGTACCAGTTTTCACCATGGAGTCACAGTTCCCTTTTAGCCTGTCTGGCCACCCAGGCAAACTGAATTTTGTGATAAATCGAAAATTCCACCATGTTAGGTTTCCCACAGTCTCGGAGGACCTGCTTATCCAGATCAGTTGGTACTCTAGATCTCACCCAAACACAACACTGACCACCAAATCTGTAGGCAAACCATAGATATATTGGCTAAGAAAAGGAAATGAGTTATTGGGTATGTCTACACTAGCCCCCTAGATCTATCTAGGGAGGCTAATGAGTGTGACCGAAATTGCAAATGAAGTCTGGGATTTAAATATCCGGCACTTGATTTGCATGTTCCCGGCTGGTCGCCATTTTAGAAATTGACTAGCCTGAAGTAACTGCCCGTGCCTACACGCGGCAGTGAAATGGAATTCCGAAATAAAGCCCTAACTTGAATTAGCTGGTAAACCTCATTGCAGGAGGAATACCAGCTAATTTGAGTTAGTTCTTTATTTCGGAATCCCGTTTCACTGCCGCGTGTAGGCACGGGCAGTTACTTCAGGCTAGTCAATTTCTAAAATGGCGACCAGCCGGGAACATGCAAATCAAGCACAAGATATTTAAATCTCACGCTTCATTTATAATTTTGGTCACCCTCATTAGCCACCCTAGATCAATCTAGGGGGCTAGAGTAGACGTACCAACTGAGATGTTAAAGCTGGTAAAAAGAGGAAAATTGCCATTTGTAACTATAGATTCCTTAAAGTTTTTCAGGACTACCTAGAATAACTTTGGGGCTCTCTGTCTTCTCATTCTTTTGTTCTGCCCTGTCAGAATTCAGACAGGCAAGAGAGAAAGGATCTTTCTTTGAATCAATCTTCACACAGCAGTATGGGTATTTCCTTTGATGCTAATGGTGAGGAATTCACTTCGATTTTTTTTTTACCATCAACCATACACATAATGGAAGCTTACTTTGAAATTAGCATTTTCTGTTAAAGTCCTTCATTAGCATTTCACTAGATTTTCTTGATGAGTGATTGAGTTACAGGGATACTTACCATGTAAATGTTTGCTATTTTATTATGACCAGGGTTCGACAAGTAATACAATCTACTCACCCGTGGTGAGTAGATTGCAACCCAGAAGAGCTGGATTCTGGCGATCTGCATATGAACAGAACGATCTGCGCATGCGCAGATCACTGGACAGCGCGGCTGCCGAGTGGGGCTCACCGCGGTTCGGCGAGCCCTGATTATGACAAACACAGATACAAAGACCATCCCGTTAATTTTCATGAAATTTAAACACTCATACTCTCTTTTTCCAATCCACTTTTCATCTAACCATTACTGTGATCTACACAAATGCCTTGACTTGCATATACTCTCCCATGGCCTGGTTGGTCAGTGTCACAGTGCTTTAGAGAAAATGAAAAGAGTTTTGTAAGCGGTTGATTCCAAATCAAATAGTTGTTCCCTTTGAAGCTGGAGTTTCTTTGGTAAAATGTGCCAATATCATCCACCTGTTTCTGTTACATATAACCTACTGCTTCATCATCTCTGCACTTGAGTCAGGCCATACTTCTGTGGTTCATCTACAATTTTCTACATACTCATAGACTATGTTCCCAGAACCTGCTCATCCCCTTTCCAGCTCCCCTTCCCTGAAGTCTTTGTGAGGGGCGTAGCTTGCACTGCCATTAGTGTAGATGACAGTTGCTTTGGCATATATCTCTTTGGATGAACAATAGGTCTCTTTTTTAGGTTGGAGCTAGACATTGGCGTACGTGTAGGTACCTGTATTGAACAAAGCACAGTTTATTTTTAAAAACATAGAGGCTACGTCTACACTGGCATGATTTTCCAAAAATGCTTTTAACGGAAAAGTTTTCAGTTAAAAGCATTTTCGGAAAAGCGCTTCTAGATTGGCAGGACGCTTTTCCGGAAAAGCACTTTAGACGTGCTTTTGTGCAAAAAAGCCCCAATCGTCATTTTCGCGATCGGGGCTTTTTTGCGGAAAACACTACTGCGCTGTCTACACTGGCCCTTTTCCGGTACAGTTTTCCGGAAAAAGACTTTTGACCAAATGGGAGCAGCATAGTTTTTCCGGAAAAGCACTGATGATTTTACATTAGATCGTCAGGGCTTTTCCGGAAATTCAAGCGGCCAGTGTAGACAGCTGGCAAGTTTTTCCGGAAAAGCGGCTGATTTTCCAGAATAACTTGCCAGTGTAGACACTGCCAGAAGGTAAATGTGTATTTCAGTAGACTCCTCTCAGACCTCCCCTGTCCAAGCGAGAACATTGCTATGAGAAATAAATATTAGATGTGAGCAGAATGCTATCATGCTATCAGTAGGTTTCATTGCTCACTGGCTCCTTTTGGGCCAGTAGGCCTTGACACCTGCATAGATTCCTTACCTCTGCTCCCTTGGGAATTCCCGATGTTTAAGCAGGTGTCCATCTTTGATCTAAGAGAGGCGTTGTACAAGCGAAGCAATGGAATCTGCTCTTCTTTCTGACATGTGCAGTTCCCTCTGATGTGACTATGCAGCCAGAGCTGAAGGGTGCCTTCCCTTGTGTTAGTGCAATAGGGAATGGAAGGAACTCGCCCCACACAAGCACACTCACCTGGGGGCCAGGCTGTCATACTCCTGCTGCCTGTGTGGGGAAGTGCAAAGTGGATCAGGCTCTTGGGCCAGTGCTAGCAGCCTTCTGGTGTGGATATGGCTGGGGAACAGCAGCACAATGGCCTGTCCTATCACCTTGGCTGAGGGCCGACTCCTGCCAAGGTCTGTCCAATGAACAGCAGACCTTTAAGGCATAATGCTTTCAAGCTAATGCACCTGTGTCTTCCACTGCCCACCCCTGGCTGCCACACAGGTTCACAAGAGACATCACTGAGCCTGTAACAAGAGAAGATTAGACTTTGGTGCAGTTCCCTCCACCCCAAAATGTCCATGCTTTGCTATATGAGAGATTTGCTCAGGGTCTTGCGGCCTGTAATGGCGCCATGAGACTCACCAGCTCTATCCTCAGCAGGGCGCCCTCTTCTGGCCGGTGTCTCACCTGTCATTGCTGCATGCTCTCGTTCTGGACCCGCATAGCTCCCAGGACCACAGTGTCCTCTTCAGGCTGCTGCCCTCTAGCAGTGCCCAATGCACCAGTCTCTTGCCCCCCTTCTGGGGTATCCGCCATCTTCAGCCTCACGCCTGCCACTATGGCCAACTTCAGCCTCCGTCTAGCCCCTCACCTCAGGTGTCAACACAGTCCATAAAGGCCACTCCTTAGTATTGCAGCGTGCTGTTCAAGGAGGGAAGTCTGGATCCTGGCTCAGGGACTCTCTGGCCATAGCCTTGTCCTGCCCTCCTCCTCTCCCCCTCTACTGCTTCCTGTTTCATGGGCCACTTCCCCTATGACTCCAGCCACCCCACTACACGACCACTTTTGATCACGTTGCATGTG